CGGGTCTGTGTTAATGCTCATTCCTCTATTGGAGAAAAGTATCACATAAACGTCTTCACGTTAAAGTATCTTAAAGAGCTTTGTCCACAGAAACGGTCACTGCACTGATAATTGCTGTCAAGCACTTTGAGACTTTCAGCATATAACTCATCTATGAAAATACTCCTTGTCTTGCAAGCATTGAGTGCTTGTAATTGGCAAAGAAGTTTTGTGCAAAACAATTACACGTTTCACCATGTGCACTGAAATTAACACAGTAGAATTAAGAATGGGACTTTGAGTCGATGGACCAGGCTGACTCCAATGCAGTGCTGAGGGAATGCTGTTATTATTGGAGGTGCTTTCCTTCCAATCATACGTTAAATCCAGGTCCCATCTGCTTGTTCGGTGGACCCTAAAGATCCCTTGGGACTATTTGAAAAGCGAATGGAGTTTGTCCCAGCGACGCAGCCAACAATCGCTCATATATGAGGGCTTCGCCCTGCCCAGGAATCAAACCCGGGTCCTCTTGCTTGCGAGGCAAGCATGCTAACTACTTCGCTTTAGGAATCCACATTAAAGCGCTTCGCTGGATTCATTCACTCTGTGGCTTTCCATGAGAACATTACTGCGTGCAACCTGCTGTTTGCCTACAAGTACTTCACAGTGAAAAAATTCAATGAAAAGCTTTGAGACACTTTGAGGTAATAAGGCAGGCAGTACACAAGGATTATTATTGTATATACTATCCCACGTGTTATATTAATTTGACCAGCTATATTGAGACTGATTGAGAAATCTTCGGCAAGCACATGGCACCAGTTATGTTGTGAACACAACAAAAACAAAAAACAACAACGAATTATTAGCATAATTCCGTTAATCAATTTTCAATTCCCCTAATTTTTTGCACCGAAAAACTGCCTTATTATTTAATAAGCAAAATGGCTATGGGCGTTTCCCCAGTCTCGCCATTTGGATTCCACGTAGCTTTTTACGTGCTACAAGAAACTCATTAGCAGAGTTCAAATCCACCTGAAGCTCCCAGATATCAAATCTTTTCCCCGGCAGATGTGAGACAGCAGTGCAGTTGTTTCACACTCCTGTGTTCATTAACAGAAATTAACCTTTTGGCAAAAATCCTTTCAAAGTGACTTGCATTTCCTTCAAGAAAGACAGCTTCTCCATGTTATATAATTCCTGAGCTTCAAGAAACTGAAATTCTTTTTTTGGTCAGCCAGGGGTGTGACACATGTGTAAACCCATCACCATGTTTAAGAGTATCCAAGCCAAACTGAGGAATTCCATGCATCCCACCTACACATAGAAATTCTCTCTCTCTCTCTCTCCTTAGATCTGCTAACCCCATACCGGCTTGTCTGCTCCATCCGCTCGTCAGACTCTGGCTTACACCATGTCCCCCACCCTGCCTGGCTGAAAGGGGTTGGGCCTTCAGCCTCACTCCCCCCATCCTTTGGAACTCCATACCACATTCCCTTTGCCTCGCACCCCTCCCTTGCCTCCTTCAGGGCCCATCTCAAGACCTTCCTGTTCGACTGTGCCCTCGATCACCCTTCTACTCCCTGTCCTCCATCCCTTCTGATCTCTACCCCCAGCTCAGTTCAAAACCCTGACTATCCTGCGTCTTGGGACGTACTCCTGATGTGAAAGGCACTAAACAAATCTAATTTGTTGTTAATGTTGTAGTGTCAACAACTTGGATTTTGGATTTATATAGTGCCCTCCACGCCGGACGGCACTATATAAGTGTCGCACCCTGCTTCTCTAATTCCAGAGAGTATTAGGTGCAAGCTGGCAAGAGCCAAGGTTTGTTGAGATAACTGCTAGAATTTAACCAGATAAAACTGCATAGGTTACTATTGAATGCACTATCTGGCAATTTGCCCTGCTAGTGTTACCTCACCTGTTGGGGCTTTATCTTATAGAGGTAACAGGAGCTGAATGAGAAATATCCCCAATAGAATCATAGAATCCTACAGCATGGAAGAGGTCATTTGCCCCATCGTGCCTCTTCCAGCTCTTTGAAAGAGCTACCAACTAGTCCCACTCCCATAGCTCTGCAAATTCTTTCTTTTTAAGTACCTATCCAATTCCCTTTTGAAAGCTACTATCAATCTGCTTCCACCAACCTTTCAGGCAGTGCACTCATTTGTCATATATCTTAAGTTTGTGTCCTCTAGTTTCCAAACCATCCGTCAGAGGAAACCAGATTACATCATAGCTGCTCCTCCAGAAATTGAAATTTCTTAATGAATGTGTATCCTGCTTTAGGAGCACAGCAATCAAACATAATAGCAGCTCTATAGCCTCTAGGTTTCTGTAAAGGCATCAGTCGCTTTGCCCAAGTAGCACTCTCGTCTCAGAGTCACAAGGTTGTAGGTTCAAGCCCTACATCAGGACTTGCAACGTTTATGGTCCCTGCAACAAATACCGTGTTGTTGGAGGTGCCGTCATTCGTATGAGTCATTAACCTGAGGTCCTGTCTGCCTATCCAGCTGGATGTTAAAGATCCCATGGCACAATTCAAAAAGAGAAGGGGGGTTTTCTTGGTGTCCTGGCCAACAATTCCCCCTCCCCCCACCCACACACATACCAAAAAATAATGAAAAACTGTGTATGGGTCATTGCCATGTGGAAATTGGCTACTGCTTTCACCCACAAAATACACAGTCACTCCACTTTATTGTTTTCTGTGAAACTCTTTGGGACATCCTCCCTATGTGGAAGGCTCTTGTAAGAGCATAAGAATTTACTTGGCAGAAGAAGACCAAAGTCCATCTAGTTCGCCTTCCACTATCCCAGCACTCACTTGACATGTCGTGTCCCAAACTATATACTGTATCCTGAGATATTATTTTCTAGCAGAAATGTATCTAATTTGATATCTAACATATAGCCTGTTCCATAAGTTTACTACTCTCTCACTGAAGTAGTGTTTCCGCAGATTTGTTCTGAATTTACCCCCACTTCAATCACAGGCCTTGTCCTCTAGTTCTACTGTTCACTACAAGATAAAACAGCTTATTGTGGTCTATATTATCTATTCGCTTCAGAATCTTAAAGACCACAATCATATCGCCCTCAACTTTCTCTTCTCCAGTGTGAACATGCCCAGTTTATCTAATCACTCCCCATAGTCCAGTCCCTCCATCCCCTCAATCATTTTGTGCCAGTTGTAAGGATTATAATTTATTATTATTTTTTATCTGAACCTATCAAAATGTACCATTGGATCTTTAACGTCCACCTGAACAGATTAATGTCTAATCTGAACGATGGAACCTCTTTCTACCTAAACTATTGGCTCAGACCTCATCAAAGGGCTTGAACCCACAGCCTTCTGGTCCAGAAGTGAGAATGCTACCAACTGAGCCAGGCTGACAGTTGGAGGGGTAAAGGGATCAACTGAGTTGGGATGGACACATTGGGGTGCCAGTTTGCGATATTTGTAAAAAGCATGGGAAGCGCTAATCACAATTTTCCATTTTGGAAAAATAAATCCTGTTTGTTCAACGAGAGAGAAATATTTGGAAATGTCGAACAAGTACATCAACAGGCAAAAGCGTGATGCAATTCCAAATAACAATTGTGTACTGTGATGGGAGAGTTAATGTACTGGATGGCTAGCTTCACTGAGCTGGATTGCCTTCTCTTATATTCCAGTCTCACGCACTGTAGAACTGACATACAAATAATAACCTTATCTTCCTTCAGCTCTGTTTGTGAATATCACAGACATTAAGAGATGCAGTGTTGGTGCTGGGAAACAGAGTTCTTTTCTATTTCAGGCCCCAAAAGAGTCAGCATTAAGCATTCCCAGGTACAGGCCTGACAAGCAAAGCACTGCTTCCCCTGGACTATCCCAACAATGAACTTCAGCCCTAACCTCAGGTCTACTGTTTAGCTGTAATAATAATAATCCTTTCATTTGATGCGCCTTATCACGTTGTTGAATCATCTCAAAATGCTTCACAGAATATACTGTAAAGTGAATTGACTATATTTTGTGGGTGAAATGTGGTAGCCAATTGTGCACAACAGTGTCCCACAAACAGTCGTGGATTGAGTGACCAAATTATTATATATATTTAGTGCAAACCCAAGTCCCAGAGTTGAAAGGCCAGTGTACACTGTCAAATGCCATACAAGCCTTAGACTTGTTTCCAAATACGATTCCCGAATATTCCACACTGATCTTTTTAAGGATGATTTATTTTTACTGTAAATTAAATACAGATCACTGATGGATAAAAGCATAACATTACTTAGCCATTAACTACTTAAATTTATCTTTTTGAACAAATTTAATTCATTAGTCTTTTATATACATGCACGTCATCTGTCTCCACTAATTATCCAGAACATTGAACTCACAGTCTCGGCTGATTCTCCAGTGCAGTGCTTGTTGGAGCACTGCATTGTCGAAGGTGCCGTCCTTCAAATGTGGTAAAACTGGGATCCCAACTGCTTGCTCTGGTCCGAAGTTAAAGATCTCATTGTGCTAGTCGAAAAGAGAAGGGAGTTTCTCCTGGTATGGTGTGCTGGACAACAATCCTCCCAGATTAAAAACAGATTGGTCATTTAGTTCACATTGTTTTGTGGAAATTGGCTGCCGCGTTTGTCCATAAATACAGTCACTACACTTTACTGTAAGATCATGTGAAACACTTTGAGGCATCTTCCCAGCATGAAAGACACTATCAAAGTGCAAAAATTGCATTATTGTTCAATAGTTAATAATCATCCTTACATTTGATATAGCGCCTTTCACATCGGGAGGACATCTCAAAGCCTTTCACAGAATATACTGTAAAGTGTAGTAAGTGAATATTTGCGGGTGAACACAGCAGCAAATTCGCACAGAGCAAAGGCCCACAATCAGCCGAGAGGTGAATAAATCCTGCGAAGCGCTTCGAGATGGCATTGTATTGCATGATTGTTATTCTGTTAATCACGTGACCCTCCGATAAAGCAGTAAATGGTCTCCGTCTCCTCCGCAGTTGGACAGCGCCACCTCCCTGATCCAGGCTGCCAAGAACCTGATGAATGCCGTGGTTCTGACCGTGAAGGCGTCATACGTGGCCTCCACCAAGTACCAGAAGGTGTACGGCACAGCCGCAGTCAACTCCCCTGTGGTCTCCTGGAAGATGAAAGCCCCTGAGAAGAAGCCCCTGGTCAAGAGAGAGAAGCCCGAAGAATATCAGACCAGGGTCCGGAGAGGATCACAGAAGAAGCACATCTCCCCTGTGCAGGCCCTAAGCGAGTTCAAAGCGATGGACTCCTTCTAACGATAATCCTGCCTCTGAAGTGGTGAACGATACCTACATTAACAAAATAAGGGTTCAGAATGCTTCTTGTTATAAGACGTAATGTCTGAGTCTATTAGCTTAAAGGGCTGGCTGAGTCTTGGATCAATTGGGACCAATTCGATATAATTAACAAAGGATGGGGGTTCATTTAAATTATTTTTAAAAAATGGAGTGAAACAATTTGAGCCTTGCCTTGCCCGTGACGATTATTTCTTGAAACAGGGGAAAAAAATATCGGAAGGAACTGAGAATGGTTTAAGAGCTTCCTGATCTGATCAATCTTCTGTTGTGTGTTAATCTATAAGACCGTGATATCTATGCTTGTATGTTATAGTTAATACAATACTGGACATTGAGGTCTGATATGTGGGATTTTCTAATGGGATTCATTCGAATGATTGCTTCAGAGCAACCCAAGCAAGCTATTTTCCCTGAAATCTTACCTAGCATTTTGACTTAAACATTTAAAATGAGGCAGGATTTGTGATAAAACCCAGCCCTAATTTTGAAGCGGTTTTCATTTTGTTTCTCAATCCACGACTGTTTGTGGGATATTGCTGTGTTTAATCGGCTGCCGCAATTGGCCCACAAGATATACAATTAATTCACTTTACAGTATATTCTGTGAAGCGCCTTGAGACATCTCAAAGACATAATACTGCGCTAAATCAAATGCAAGGATTATTAATGTTATTATCATATTTCATTTGGTAAACCAATTTCCAGATTGAGGATGAGTTCAACACAGTCTGAGTCAGACATTATTTTGTAACCAGAAGGAATCACTTCTTAAGGAATCCCGTTGGAAAACATTGCATGTCAGACCTCGCCTCAAGCAAAGCAGACATTTCTTCTCAGCTGTTTGATGATAGTGGAAGCACAAAGTGTAACTCCAATTGCCTTTTATTTATTTTCGAATGATTACGTATGACTGATTGTGTGTTTAAAATGAAACAGTGGTTTATTCTGGGGACTTTGGTCAGTATTCCACAGCCCTAAATCACAGGAAAGTAACCAGGCTAACAGTGTCTGTGTTGTCCAAGCGCTGTAACTTATACTGTATTTTGAACAGAACGTGTTGTCCCTAATGACAGGCTAACCTATGAAATAAACAGTCACCATGCTAAAAGTGCGCCAGGGAAATTGTGTCACTGGAACATGGAGGATCTTAGGAATAAATGCTTATGACGTGACTCTTTCACGCTCACACAAGGAATGCTGTGACTCAGATAGAGTCAGAGTCAGATAGACTAGAGGTCTGTGTTAGATGGAAGGTACCAGTGGATTGATGTAGAGGCTTGGTTTGCCTGAACTTTAGATGATTATTCTGTCGTTGTGTTCACCCAAAAGCTGAAATAAACTCTTCACCCATCCTGCTCATGTGGCTCTCTTTCTTACTTCTTTCCTTGGATAATCCCAGATACAACAACAACTTGGATTTATATAGCGCCCTCCACGCCAGACGGCGTCTCAGAGCGCTTTACAGTTTAGGATCCCGGGACCGAGCCAGGGGGAGGGGGAGGAAGGTGACCAAAGGCGCGGTCGAAAAGAAAGGTTTTCAGCAGAGACCTGAAAATGGGACGGGAGGGAGCGAGACGAAGGGAGTGAGGAAGGCAGTTCCAGAGTCTCGGGGCATAGCGGCTGAAGGCACGGCCGCCGAGGGTGGAGCGGAGGACTCAGGGGACAAGGAGGAGGCCAGACCTGGAGGAACGAAGACCACGGGTACTGTCCTGAGGAGAGAGGAGGTCAGAGAGGTCGGGGGGTGCAGAGGAGTGCAGGGACTTGAATACGAGGGTGAGGATCTTGAAATCGATCCTCTCTGGGATAGGGAGCCAGTGCAGTCTGGCAAGGACTGGGGTGATCAGGACCCATATATCTATGGGTCCATGCTCATTAGCACAGAAAGGCATTTGAATGGATTTTTTTCTCTTTGTGGGTTTTTTTAACATCCATTTCTTCCCCACTCCTCCCCGTTCCAAGAGGGGACTGAATAACTGTCATTGTTTACTAACTCGTTCGCCCCACCCACCTCGCAGGACTGATCCACTCTTGGCACACAAGATCTTCAGTATTTTGTCCCCAGGGAAAATCTCCCAAGTACTCCTCCTTGCAGAATACCACCTATCATCCCATTTCTACATCATACTGCCCACAGCCACCCTTCTTGTCCCAGTCGTTAATTACCCCCAAGGTAAAGAATACTTCCTGGTGTCTGCCCTGAAATTAAGTTTAATTCAAATCTGAAATTAAATCTGTCCCACACTCAACTTCGTGAGAGGATCACCCCTCTCTTTGCCTGACTCCACTTGATCCCCATCCCTAAGAAGATCAAGTTCAACATCTCTGTCCTCACCTTTGAAGCCCTCCACAGTCTTACTCCTCCCTACCTCTGTGACCTATTAAAACTTCAGCAACCTGTCCACCCACTCCGCTCAGCAGGCACTGGCCTACTCCATGATCCCCACCCTGCCTGCTCCACTATTGTTGGTCGGACTTAAGGCTTTCTGCCCCCACCCTCTGGAACTCTATGCCAGAGCCCCTTCGTCTCACCCCCTAACTTGCCTCCTTCAAGGCCCATCTCAAGAGTTTCATTTTCAACTGTGCATCCAGTCAACTTCCCACCTCCCAATCCCCCTTGCCCTCCACCTCTCTCTGATCCCAACCTGCAGCTTGGGTTGCTTCCTTACTCCACATACCTTTGTTTATCTAGCAGTAAGTAGGAACCCAGCTGTTAGTCGATGTGTGGATCGCTTTAACCCTTCAAAATAAATTAATAATAAAGCAATAATTGGTCACTCAATCCACGACTATTTGTGGGACACTTCTGTGCGCAATTGGCTGCCGCATTCCGCCCACAAAATATACAGTCAATTCACTTTACAATATATTCTGTGAAGCACTTTGAGACTTCTCAAAGTGATAAGGCGCTGTATCAAATTCAAGGATTATTATTAAAAGCACAGATATTAATGGTGGATAGAGGAATGGTGAGCAAATAGTGGACCAGAAACATCCCTGTTTCCAATTCTACAACTTTCTGGGACAGAGAGTCCCACATCTTCACAAGTTTCTATGTGAAGAAATGTTGAAGAATTGTATCACTAAAAACGCAATCTTAGAAATCCTATTCGTAAAGTAACTGGCCACTTACCCAGCTCTTTGTTATAGATGTTAATCAATACATCATTATTACATCATTAAGAGTTAATAAGCATAATTTACCTACATGCTCTTGTCTATGAGCAGTGAGGTTGATTTACAGCTATGTGCTGTTCTATCTTCAATTAAGTCTCCATGGAAATGCCTTGATAGCTCTTCAATGTCAAACTTGTGATTTTTTTTAGAGTGCTTGGGAAATTCATCATAATGCAATCCAATCCAATATTACCCTTCATATCAGGAGGACGTCTCAAGGTGCTGGACTATCCATGGTTTGAGTCAGGGTCGAGGCAGTTTGGGCAGCAAAAGGGGTAAGGGGGAAAATATGGGCGAAAGTGTGGTAAAGAGGAATATCTTGAAGTGGACCGTGATGGAGATGAGGGAACGGGAGAGTTTAAGGGATTCTGGGTTGTGATTCCAGAGAGTGGGGGCAGATTACAAAGTTGCCACAGAACCAGTACAACCAGAGCTCAGTCTGTCTCCTCGTCTCCACCTCACATTAGAGCTGAAATGGTTTGGCAATGGAATATTACAATCAAGTCAATCCTCTGTGGCGGTCTTTCTTGATAATTCAGTTTCTGAGCCAGGTGAGTCCGCAATACTCCAGGGCACAGCTGATAACAGCACAGCCAGCCTGGTACATCAGCAGGCCTTGAAGGGACAGACCAGTCATTGGGGCAGGGAATCCTCCCACTCAACTCCTGTTAACCCAGCAAGCCAAAGCCTTAATTGGTAGGGTGGTCCTAGCTGGATAAATAGTGGGAAGCTTGCCATAAGTGCTCTCAATGGCAATCTATGCAGTTTTAGCTGATTGAAATCCAGCAGTTACCCCAACCCACGCTCTGGGGTTCCCAAGCCTTGGCTCACCCAACCTGTGCCTAATACTCTCCAGAATTTGTAAACAGAATGTATCTATGTGCTTGTCTAATTCTCTTTTAAATTCTCTACCTTAGTTAAAAGAGCGGAACCATGCAGAGATTGCAAAAGGAAGGGGTTGTATATAATAATAATAATCCTTTCATTCGATAAAGCGCCTTATCACATCGTTGAGATGTCTCAAAAGCGCTTCACAGAATATACTGTAAAGTGAATTGACTATATTTTGTGGGTGAAACGGGGCAGCCAATTGTGCACAACCATGTCCTACAAACAGTCGTGGATTGAGTGACCACATTTTTTTTAAAAGGGATTATTACCCCTGGAAAGCGATCCGCCAATCGACTAACAACCGGGTTCCTACTTACTGCTAGGTAAACAGGCGTGTGGAGTAAGGAAACATGCTTAATGTTTCACCCTGCCCTGGAATCAAACCCGGGTCCTTTCACTTGTGAGGCGAGTGCTCTAATCACTACACACTGGACTCAATGTATAATAAGAATTGCAGAAATGGCCTATTTTAATACATACCTAGAAATTTAGGAACAGCAGAAAGCCATTTGGTTCATTGAGCCCAATCCTTCACAGACCATTCCATATCACCATGCACTGCCACCTCCACTAATCCTTCTTCCATGCTTTCTCACGAATACCCATTAATAGCCTAGCTATTGATAGCAGCATATATTACTGTGGGAGATCGTTCAGCTGAATAACCTTTTAACTGCAGCTGTCAGCAACATCAGGAGACCTCTCTCACAGGGCTGGCAGGTTAATGCTGACACAGGGCGACTGGGACGTAGGAATGTCCATGGCAACGCAGCATTTTCACTGCCAGTCAATCACTATATTTCGCAGCAAAATGGCAATGGTGGGAATTCATAGTTATGGGTTTCATACATGTCATTAAACTAATGGACATTGCTGTGCGCAATTGGCTGGTGCGTTTCATCGACAAAATGCAGTCATTCCACTTTATCAGTGGAGTCCTGTAGCTCAGTGGTTAGAGTACTCGCGAATTCCCAGCAGGGTGAAACCTTGAGCAAGTTTCCTTACTCCACACACCTGATAATAATCCCTCAAGAAAATAAAACAATAATAAATTAGTCACTTCACACCACTGCTGTTTGTGGGACACTGCTGTGCGCAATTGGCTGCCGCATTTCACCCTCAAATATACAGTCAATTCACTTTACAGTCTATTCTGTGAAGCACTTTTCTAGAAGATGTGAAAAACACTATATCAAATGCAAGGATTATTATTAATGTCTGCCACCTAGATGTGGCTGAATACAAAGGTGTTCTGATGGTGTCTGCAATCATGTTACTGCTTACAAGCATGTGCGCCCAGTCTTTGTAGATAAAACAAGTCATTCACTTCATGGCTGCATGTGGGACATTGCTGTGCGCAAATTAGCTGCTACAGTCATTGTAATTTACAACAAATCCAATGAAGTGCTTTGAGACTTTTGAGACTTTTTGAAAGCGTGATAAGGGGTGATATCAAATGCAAGTATTATTACAATAATAATAATTAACATATTTGCTCGTGATTACCACTTTTCCCCATACTTATAGAAAATATTGAAATTTCAG